GTACAGTCCATTGCCCTCCCTACCAGCAGAAACATGTTTCGGTATTAATGAGCTGTGCATTGTCAGTCTTCGGAAAAAATCCAAGCTTCGAGTGTAAGGGTATAGCCGGAGGAGCTGTGTTTCAAAAAAATCGACTAGAATTTTTCGTCACTGGGAGGGGTCAGATCCACACCAAATTTTCACATGAACAGGGTCGCCCCTGCCATTAACCATGTCAGTAAGTCACTTTGGTCTTAAAAGCTCAATTTTAACAGTGAAGGCTCAAGGTTGTGTCTTCTAGTACTTTGGCTCTAAAGCTTAACTACCGGGCAGGAGTTGCCAGCGAATTTGCTTAAGGGTGGTTCACGGTCGCCGTGTCACCGTGCCATCGTCAGGCTTTGCGACACTATTGATTTTTAGCGTGTCACACATCATCCCGCCGTACCCTAGCAGCACTTTCGCGGTTGGTTCAAATTTTAGACAAAGTGGAAGATTTCTATAAATCGATCTATTCAAGAAAAGAAACGACTTTTAGTCTTTGTATTTATTATACAAATCATCTCTATTAGCATCTTTTTATTTGGAACCAGGACAAATTCCAAGTGTCCCACGTGCAACAATAATGTTACTGGCAGGAGTAAGGCCGTGCTCTGCGCTTTATCTAACAGATGGGTGCACATAAAATGCGCAAAAATAGCCCCTGAAATCTACGAGGTCTTGAAAAACTACGAATCAGAAGGGCTCGTGCCCTTTTGTAATGCGTGCAAAAGTAATATCCTTGGCGAGGACGCTGCGGACATTCCCACCGATACAGACGAAAACAAAGCCCTCGAAGAAGATGCGATAAATTCAGATGCGGCGATGCCAGATACAATAGCGGTACCGGCGACGACGCAAATAGAAAATCTGGAAAACGGAGGCCCACCTCTCGTGCTTCCTGCTACGGAAATCGATGAAAATGAGGAGTGGAACACACCGAAACCCGCAAATAAGAAGGCCGAGCTACACGAAGTGCCGAAGGCTTCTACGTCGAAGATTTCTGCATCGGCATCTAAGGCGTCAAAAGAAACAAACAACCCAACTGATAGAAAGAAATCACTTCTCTTCTTTAATGTGCCCGAATCTGACGGATTAGATGCAGTAATACGTGTGCAGCACGACTCTACGGAAATAACAAAAATCACCCTTAAAATGCCGGACCCAAGTGATGGACAGGTATCAATTGTAAGCCTTTATAGACTAGGTGCA